CAGTAATATGAAGTCAGAATTCCTAAGGTGACATGAAGAAAGTGCTTCCCTCCCCCCATGGTACCAGGTGTGATGGTGCATTTAAAAAAAAATATTTTATTTATTATTTTAATTTTATATGTATGAGTGCATTGCCTGCATGTATGTGAGTGCACCCATGTTGTACAATGCTGTGGAGGTCAGAAGAGGGTGTTGGATTCCCCTGGAACTGGAGTTATTTAAGCACGGTTCGTAGCTGCCATGTGGGTGATGGGAATTGAACCCAGGTCCTCTGCAATAGCAGTCATCTGAGCCATCTCTCTGAGCCATCTCTCTGGCCCCTGAATCTTTTTTTTTTCTTTTAAAGTGCATCCTTATTTTAGTATCTTACTTGATGGTACCTCACAGCAATATAAAATAGCATCTTTTCTGTATTCTTTGCTTCTCTTTCCCTATATTAACATTGTCGTTTCTAGTTTTCTCTTATTTGGTTTTTGTTTTGTTTGTTTTTGTCTTTTTGAGATGTCTCCCTGTAGCCCTAGCTGGCCTGGAACTCACTATGTAGACCAGGCTGGCCTTCAACTCACAGAACTCTGCCTGCTGGGATTAAAGGCATGTACCACCACACCTGGCTAGCTGTTTTTTTTAAGTCAGGTTTAAGTCAGGTTTTGTATGTCCATCTTCCCCACCCCCACCCCAACTTGTCATTGCTTTAGATTTATTCTTTGTGGAAAGTATATGGTTTTGTTTGGTTTTTATTCTCATTTATTATATCTAATCCACTGCTGTGTTTCAGCATCATTATGTTCTATGTGAAGTCCGAAGAGTAATTGTATTTTCCTGTTGCTTTGGTTATTTCTAATGTAATTTTAATGCAGAAGCCATTTAATAATAGTATTGGGCTGGACATGTAATAAGTGTTGAGCACTTGGCTAGGATGCTGAAGCCCTTTGACACCCATCACTGCCAAGCAAAAATGTCAAGTAATGAATAGTGCTTGTTAATACTTACTCAGTACTCTTCTCTATGATTGTGTTCACAGTGATGTCACTTAAATCCATAGCAATGTACCATATTTATTCTTTGGTGTTGGAGATTGGACCTAGGGTTTTAGGCAAATGGCTTACCACTGAGCTATACTCATGACTGTACTTTTGCTTTTTCTGTTTTAGAGGTAAAGACAGAGGGACACTTAGATTAACTGGCTAGTGCTGCAACCAGGATAAAAGCCCTGCCCAGTCTGTTTCTGTGGTTTCATGATTTGAACAGCCTTTTAAAAATCTTATATGCTGTGGGTTAGGGAAATCTGTACGTACTGTGAATTCAGATGCAACTTTATTACAACCTAATAATTCTAGGGGAAACAAGTACATTAAAATTTATGGGTTCTTTAGGCTTCTGTTTTCATAAGCTACTAGGAATTTAATATTTTTGTCTCATTTAAAATATTGAAAGTTTTAAAAAAATTTGGTTACTTCATCTGTAAAATAATCAAATATAATGAAAACTAGGAAAAATGTGTCATGTGAGTGTAATCTTATACTTTGATATTTATATTTTAATTATGATTGTATAATTATGATTATATATAAATATATAATATCTTTCTTTTTTTTTTTTTCGGCCTTTTTTGACACAGGGTCTCCCTGTAGCCCCAGCTGGCCTGGAATTCACCGATATCCACCTTCCTCTGCCTCTCAAGTGCTGGAAGATAGACGCCCAGATAAATATATAATATTCTTATGTTAACTTTTATACTAAAATAAAGCAACTTATTTTTCCTTCTTCCTCCTACTTAGATAAGCCCCAGAAGTGATGTTTGGTCATTAGGATGCATCTTATACTATATGACTTATGGGAAAACACCATTTCAGCATATTATTAATCAGATTTCTAAATTACATGCCATAATTGACCCTGACCATGAAATTGAATTTCCTGATATTCCAGAAAAAGATCTTCAAGATGTGTTAAAGGTAACATTAATAGTATGTGGATATACAAAGATATTGTCTCATATAATTTCATCTAATCTTTGCTTTAAAAAAATAGTTGAAGTGATTTGAAACTGTCTTGACTCTTAACTGGTCTGTTGGAAGAACTTACTGATTGAAGTAGTTTTTAAAGCATGCTTGCTCTGAAGGCGTTAAAAAAACAAACAAAAACCTAATGAATATTTAGGAATTCTTAGTGACTTGGAGTAAAAAAAAATGTTATCATTGTTTGGTGAGATGCCTAGTATAATGATGCTTGTAGTATGATGTAATCTGGAGAAATATTTTCTCACCAGCACGTATGAAAACTTGTTTTTAATTTTTTCTTTCTAGTGCTGTTTAGTAAGGGACCCTAAGCAGAGAATATCCATTCCTGAGCTCCTCGCCCATCCGTATGTTCAGATTCAGACTCACCCAGGTACTACCTCCTTAGAAGTTATTTGTACTAGATTCCTAGCAAATAGCCTATTAACTGTAACAAAAACCAGAATCTGAATCAGCTGCTGTCTTACATAGCTTGCCTTCTTCAAGGAAGTTGCTATTTTACAAATAGTAAAGTTAATAAAATTGCCTTTTTTAGCCCTCTGTTATTCAATCTTATCCTAGGCAGAAATTTGTGATAAATTACAATAATGCCAGCTAATGTATTAAGTGGAATGCACGTATAATAGTTTTGTTTGGGGACAGAATCTTGCCGTTGTAGCCCAGGGTGGCCTTGAATTCATGATCCCCTTCCTCAGCCTTCAGAATATGGGGTTTTGAGTTTTGAGACCAAGTCTTGCCTCAGAACCACAGCAGTACCTCAGCCTCAGCTTCTCAAGTGCTAGAATCACAGTCATGCCCTACTGCACCTGGCCGGAATGGGTGTTTTCAATGACTTCTTGTTATTCTTATTAGTAGCAGTGTGGTATTGATTATATACCTTTTGTAGGCAACCAAATGGCCAAGGGGACGACCACTGATGAGATGAAGTATGTTCTGGGTCAACTTGTCGGTCTGAATTCTCCTAACTCCATTTTGAAAGCTGCCAAAGTAAGTGTGTCTGCATTAATTTTAGCTGTTTTAGTATAGGGCAATGAGTTAGAGACTTAAAGAGGCAGATGACCCAAAGGAAAGTTGGTCTGTTCATCACGTCTGTTATGAAGTATCTTTCTATATTTAGGTATTTCACAGATGCTTTTACAAGTGTGTGTCTTTTTGATTTGTGTTCTTACTGTGCATCCAGCACAGTTCAGAGTGGATTGTGTATAAGGTGCATCCAAAAGATTGTTGTTGGGTTTCAATTAAAATAAAGAAATTTATCTGTTAGATCTTTCAGCCTCAACACTGTTCTGAGTACAGATTTACAATTCTTTCCTTCTAGCCAATTTTATTTTTGAACCTTTGAAAAATGACAGCATTTGTCATGTAATAGCTTCTGTAAAACTATAGCAATTGGTGCATTCTCAAAACAACTGTCTCAAGCTTCCCAGCCTCCTAATATCTGTTTATATCTCCACCTTGCTGTTTGAGTCTCGTTTTGTTTTCAGACAAGGTCTCACTGCATAGCACTGGCTAGCTTCAATAGCTTCAAACTGGCTATGGGGACCAGGGTGGCCTCAAACTCAGAGAACTTCACCTGCCTCTGCCTCCTAAGTTCTGGGAAACCTTTAGGCACGCAGCACCACGCCTGGCCTTTACATTGCTTCTTAGTTCCTGTCTCTACATTTTAAATTCATACCAGTGTATGTTCAAATAATTTTTAATAAAATGAAAGTGGATTAATCACTTTATCACTGAGGTTTGTGTTGCATGATGGCAAAGATTTGTCATCTTCATAAATTAAATGTTGGATTAACATTTAATCAATCTTTTTTTTTAAAAAAAACTTTTCATTGTTTGAGACAGGGTCACCCTATAGCCCGAGCTGGCCTAGAACTCATTATGTAGACCAGGCTGGTCTCAATCTCACAGAGATCCACCTGCCTCTGCCTCCCAAATTCTGGGGTTGAAGGTGTGTAACACCACTCCTGGCTTTTTGAATACTGTTAATATTCCATCTGTATCTGGAATCAACCAAGTGCAAATCAAAACTACTACAAAAAGAACTTATGCATCCTGATCTTATACCGGCTTCTTTCTTGTTATCATTCCCTAAAAAAGTGCAGTAAGCAATGATTCATACCCTCTTACGTTGCATTGGTTATTACGAGCATGAGTTAAAACATACAGGAAACGAAGCTGTGTGTGCGAATCTGCAAATAGTATGCGCTTTCTATAAAAGATTGAACACCTGTCAAATAGGACTGTTTATCAGTCCTTCAGGGATGTCCCAAGGGACAAAGGGGCCTAATTACACTTATTTACCTAATAATTTTAATGTCTTCTGTTCATTAGTATAAATAGCTTCTGAAATTACTTTTTTTCCTAATGAAAATATTTGATATATAGAAATTTAAGGGTAAGGTTTTTTTCTCTTTTTTATAAAAATTCTTTTGCTAATTTTTGAGAATTTCATACAGACTATTTTAATCGTATTTGCCCCTTCTGAGTCCTCCCTGGTCCTTTTCCCCTTTCCCTACCCATCTACCACCTAACTTTGTGTCCTCTTTTTGTAAATCTGTTGAGTCCAGTTTGTGCTGCCCATGTACCCATGGCCATCCCACTAGACCTACCAGGGAATATGTTTTTCTAGGAAAAGTAAAGGGGATCACACTGGCCTTGAAGGTCTGCATGTTGTATTATAGTTTCTTATGGAACAATTGAACTGCATGTCTTTAAATTTAGGATATGTCATTACCTTTACTAAAAGTTGCAAAACAGATTTGTGTTTTTAATTTCAGACTTTATATGAGCGATATAATTGTGGTGAAAGTCATGATTCTTCATCATCCAAGACTTTTGAAAAAAGAGAGGAAAGAAAGTGACCTGTAGCTACTCATAAACTTCAAAACACTAAAATATGGTGGCTGGACTGTTACACTTTTGATTCTCTGTGGAAGTGAACCTGGGAAGGAAAAAAACCTCACCTGAATTTTATCAGTAAAAAAAACTTGAGTAGTTCATCCTCAAAAGAAAACTGTAAAAATTAACCACTAACGCACTGTATATATTAAATTATAGAATTGTGTTTTTCTGTTTTACGCTTTCCTGTGAATCTAATCTGTTTGATATCATTTCACACTTGAAGCAGTGGTGGACAACTGAAATATATTTTGAAGACCTGTGTAAATAAAGCTTTACAGCATGAACAACAACAAATTTTCAGAGTTGTAAGATTATTTTCTTCAATCAAATGTATTATTGGCATGGTAGCAAAATTGTTAATAAGAATGGGAAGACTCAATAGTAGTCCTTAGTAAATGAGCTATAAAATGTAAGTCCCAAAAGGCTTTCAATCCTAAATAGATTTCCTAATTAATCTGTGGCACTGATACCAACCATAGTATTAGGTCTGCCTATGGTTCTTTCAATTCTATCTTTGATTCTTCATAGTCTATATGGTTTGAAGTGTAAATTTTGTTAGGGCATGCCATTATTGAATACGTTGCTTGGTAATGGGCAGTTATAATGTGACCCCAGTTTGTTCTGCCTGCCTGTCTGTCTGTCTGTCTCTTGTTCTCTTTGTCCTGTTGGAGATCAAACCCAGAGCCTTGGAAGAATCACACTGTATATACACAAATATTCCAAAATCAGAACTGAAATACCTCTCAAGCATTCCCAGATGACGATACTGAACCTCAGCTTGTATATCACTGTATTCTTTTTTCAAAAAAGACAAAAAAGGGTTTGTTTTGTTTTTCTTTTCTTTTCTTTTTTTTTTTTTTTTTTTGTTTTTTTTAGACAGGGTCTCCCTTTACCTCCCCCTGTCCTTTTTTGGTCTTTTTGAGACAGGGTCTCCCTGTAGCTCCAGCTGTCCTGGAACTTGCTATGTAGACCAGGCTGGCCTCGAACTCACAGAGATCCCCTGCCTCTGCCTCCCAACTGCTGAGATTAAAGGCATGCGCCACCACACCCAGCTAAATAGACTTCCTTTTTAAAAGCAGTTTTAGGTCCACAGCAAAATTGCAGAAAATTCCAAGTTTCTATGTATCTTTACCTTCTCTCACAACCCTTGTCACTTTTGGCATTCTCAACATCAAAATCCCACACCACAGTGGTACCTTTTGTTACAGTCTATGAACCTACTAAAAATCCCAAAGTCTAGTTTAAGTCCATGCTGTGGATTTTGACATGTTTAATACATGCTTCTATAACACAATGGTTTTGTTGCTGAAAACCCTTTATGCCTTGTCTGTCCTTTCCCCTAACTCCTAGAACACATCACTTTTTTGCTGTCTCCATACTTTTCCAGCAATAATAGAAGTGAAATCCCTACAGTATTAGCCTTTTCAGATCGACTTCTTTCCCCGTGACTTTCTGACCGTATCTCATTTCTTTTTCACACTGATAAATGGTCTGTTGTTTGGATGTGCCGTGCTCTATCCGTTCCCTGCTGAAAGCCATTGTTGCCTATAAAATTTGACAGTTGTGAGTAAAGCTTCTGTAAACGTTTCTGTGTAAGCCTTGTGTGACATAAGTTTTCATCTACTTTTGGTCAATAGTGAGACACTTAACTGATAGATTCTGTGTTAAAGAGTAGTTTGGGGCCTGGGGAGATATAAAAGTAAGGAAATTTTGTGTTTAGTTTTATAAGAAACCACCAAACTCCTCCAAGGAAGTTGCTGCATTTTGCATCTCAGCACTGGGTGAGCATTCCTATTGCTCCACAGCTTGGTGTTCGGATTTCGGTCATTGTAATCAATGTGTGGTGTCATCTTTTAATTGCACTTCCTTAAGCATGTGTTGCTGGGCACCTTTCTTTCCCATGCTCATTTGCCATGTGTTTGTCTTCAGTGGGATATCTACTCAGGGGTCTTTGACCTACTTTTAAATTTCATTCAATATTAAGGTTTAAGAGTTCTGTATATTTTGAGTAACAGTCTGATCAAATGTACCTTTCTCTAATAGTCTTTCCCGTTCTGTGGTTTATCTTCTCTTTATTCCCAGAATTTTAATGACATTTAGTAGCATTCAGGGTTTGGGGTTTTAAGTTAATGTGGTAGATAACTGGTAAACCTAAACTGGAGTTCTGTAAATCTACTCAAGTAGAAGGTGTGGTAAAAATCCAGCTTTGAAATTAGAAACTTACCTCATTCACCCTTTGTAAATACTAATTTTTAAAGAGTATCTTGAAATTACTGTATTTGTAACCTTTTAAAATACTTGTCATGTTAAGAGTTCTAAGAAGTCTCATATTGGAAAAGGCATTGCTTACTGCCTCCCAAGCAGTACCGGTGAACCTGGAATAAACGACTCAGTCTGTAAATCTGAGTATGGAACAGCATCTCTTTCCTTTGAAATTAAGCAAACAAGAACTCTGACCTGGATTCACAGCATAGGTTCCCCACATGTTTCCATGTTAACTGGTGTCATTCAGCTGGGTCAAAGCTGTGCATTAATGACAGTATCAAGTACCTATTCAGCTCTCTTCCAGTTTGATAGTCTATTTTATTAAATAATCTGACTCACACAACTCCAGTAGTTAGCATATGTTGCTATTTAATAAGAATAATTTTCTGGGCTGGAGAGATGGGTCAGCTGTTAAGAACACTGGTTGTTCTTGCAGGAGACCCAGGTTTGAATCCCAGAACCCACATGGCAGCTAACAACTGTCCGTAACTCCAGTCCCAGGGGATCTGACAGCCTCTTCTGACCTCCACAGGCATTGCACGACACAGATGCACTTACATACATGCAGGCAATACACGCATACACATTAAAAAAATAATAAAAATATTTAAAATAATTTTCTTGACTATTTCACAGTCCCCTCTACTTTCCTGTGCTAAACAAAGACATATTCTTCAGTAGGGTTTTCTGAATACTATTTTCTATTTGCTGAACCTACTTTGGGTTTAATAAACAACCTCTTTATTTATTGGTTATATAATGTGGCCAAGTAGACGCACACCTATGGCTGGCTCTTAAGCATTCTCTAGGAAGCTTGTGGGCCTGGGCTAGTCACTGAATGACTTGGGAGCTTCGTAGCTTTTATTAGTAAAATTAGAACCATGGACTACACAATCTTCTAGGACTTAGTCTTAAGTCTATGAAGTCATATACAAAAAGTAAATTTAGAGTAGAGGGATAGTTAGGAAAAAGAAAAGAAAATCCTTGTATGTCAGAGTAACAGCATTCCTGTATGAGTCCCAAACTAAAGTCAGAAGTGGAGTTGGGAGTTTCCTTGCTTGTGAATCCCAAGTATAGAGAGCAGACAGCCTCCCCCCTTGGTGTGAGGTGCAGCCTCCAGCTCAGTGTGGTCCCCATCCTTCCTGCACTGCCTAGGTTTCACCTCCAAGGAGAAAAGCCACAGCGTGTTTGGGTGCTCCGTTCCCCTCCCATTCAGTCTGCTGGCTGAGTGGAGCTGTGGCCAGACTAGGACAGAGTGAGGCTAAGAGTGCACTGTCCTGGGCTGGCTTGGCTTTTAATGGTATTGAGTTTTTGATTTTCCATTTTTCTGTCTGTAGTAGGGTAAGATTTGTGGCTAAGTCCTGACACGAGCATCTACCAAAAGTTAGGACAGATACTTTAGAATATGGTGAAAGCTAAGCTTAGTCCAAGTTCTCCAGAAGCCTGAGGGAAGAGGGATCTCCAACAGTAAACACTCCTTTGGGCTCATCCTCTCACAATTTTAAAGGCCTAGGTGTTTATCCAAGTCACAACTCTTGAACTCCAGACATGCATTCAATGAACTATTTGGTATCTTCACTTGAATGTTCTTATAGACCTCTCAAACTCAAAACAGGCATAGAGACACATGCCTGTAATCCCAGCACTCGGGAGATGGAGACAGGAAAATTGAGAGTTCCAGCCTGAGCTACATAGCAAGATTGTCTCAAAAACAAGCAAACAAAAAACAACAATAAAAGACTGTTCCCGTCAAATTCTTCCCTGCCTCAGTTGATGGAAATTCTATGTGTTACTTTTCTCATTGCAGAGCCAGGTACTTGACAGAAGCAACCTAAGGGAAGAGGTTTATTTGGACTGTTAAGAGAGAATAGTCGTCATGGCAGGAAAAGCAAGGCACCTGGTGATGTTTGCTCCAGGGCAATGAGCTGCCGTTATGACTTGTTCACATCTGTGAATCAGGAAGTGTGGGCTGGAAGCAGAGCTGGACTGTAACTCTCAAACGCTTGCCTCCCCAGTGACCTACCCCTGCCAGCTATGTTCCCTACCCCAGTTTCCATAACCTCCTACAACAGTGCCACCTGCTAGGGACCAAGGGGGAGTGTTTCACATTCAAACCGTTACTTCCTTCTAGTTACTACTCGGCTCTGAAATCCTGGGTTACCCTAACTCCTTTTTCTTACAGCTCTTACCCAGTTCATTAGGGAAGGTGTGTCTTTTCGAAATGTAATCTACAGCCTAACCCCTTCTTACCACCTCACTGCTACCGAGCTATTCAAAGCATCAACTTCACCTGTAGTTCTGTTACAGCTTCTTAACTGGTCTACCCACATCTGCTTTTTTACCCCTATGTTTATTCCCAGCCTAACAGCCAGTCAGATCACATCAGTCCATGCTTCCAAACTGTTACGACAATTTTGCTTTAAGTCAAAAGCCCTACGATGGCCTATAAATCCCTGTGTGATCTAGTCTTCTGCATCCTTTCTGTCTTCTTCACCTGTGGGCAGCCTGGCCCTCTGGCAACACAGTTTTAGTCTGAGTCCAAAGAATGCATTGACTGGGAGCCACCCAAAAGCTCCCCTACATCTGCTCGTTTTTCCTACTGACTGCTGAAATAACTTCTATAGTGAGAGCTAAATTTTTCCACCCTAGAAGGAAATCAGGGCTCATGCTCTCTGTATAGTGTAGGGAGAAGGGAGAGAAGGAAACTTTGTTTTGTGAAAGGGCTGTGGTCTCTTATAATAGAGTTCTGTGGCGACTTGCCGTTTGTAATATTTG